ATTATTTCCACAAAATGTTTATTAATGGTGCTAAATTAATTTGTCCTACGCATTTTGGTGACAGTCCATCAGTGGAGAGATGTTTGTGTTGTTGTATTTTGATTATTTTTACGTTTATGTTTGTTTGTTTTTATCCATTTTACTGTCTCAATTACGCCAGCTCTCTATATATCTCTATATATCAGATAATCTAATACAAATGCATATTATTCAGACGGTTTATTGAACGCCTCTAGTCAACCTTAGCTGATGAGTAAAATGCCATGATTTAAAATGAACTATTCCAGAAACCAACGTATCAACAGACACATTTTACTTTCAGCTTTTTCAAAACTCATTAAAGAAGTTTAGAGCTGATCCATTATATAAAATAAAGAAAATTGTCTGCGTAAACAAATGCGTAAGTTGATTATACAGTCTTGGCAAAGAATTGGCAGAAATGGGAGTTAAAGGATTATATCTGCACTTGAAGGAGATTTTTTTAAATTATACCTTATATATATAATACAGAATGTAATTGAAACTTGAACGCACAAATGCTGTTGTGAGTGCTTACACACCACGCACAAACAAAGAAATGGAAACATTTAGATAATATTTTGTATTATCAACATTGTCTGGCTTATTTACTAAAGTAAGAATTGCCAGGAATACGAAAAGTGCATTCAAAGTGAATTTAAAATGTAAGGCCAATATAGCGAAACTACTTGCTCTACTTCTAGTTCTGCTACTTTAAATTTGAAATTCACTCTACATTCTCACTTATATGAACACTCCACTGCCCAAATGGACAAAAAAAGCTAGTTGAAGGTGGCTGCAAACCACCCTGGCTGTTTGACTGACAGTCAGAGTGGTATTCCCAGGTTAATTTCTAAATGTTTCTCATAGAAATTGACACTTTATTTAAAACTAGGCTTAACTAGGATACCTCTCACCCATAAAGCACATTAGCATGCTGAAGTGCTTTTGGCGGGTGGCGTGGTCCCAGAATGTATATGTTTTTAGGGTACATACAGGTAATGGGAGTACAGGATACACTTTAATTAAATATGGAAAGCAAATAATTATAGTGTAAAATGGAACAAAGATGTTATTACAGAGTAGGAAGAAGGGTATCTTCTGTAAAAATGTATTGGCAGATAATCACTGAGTAAGAACTTAAAGCAGATTTCACCCTTACCTGCCTCCCTGCGGCCATTAGACCACCAGCAGCGATGTCACAGTCAGGGAAGAGAGAAACTCAGTAGCTTGCCCTTTGGTAAATCCCAGCTCAGGTCTCAAAATAGTTATAAAATTTCTTTTAATGCCTCATAAATACATTTTGGTTATTTAAATTTTATTGTAAATTATATCTTACTTTAATGGATCACTCCAAGCAACATAACCACTATTGGACTACAGTTATGGTGCCACTAGTGCTTTGATGCCCCCACATTGTAAGTAGTCAACCAATTTAGAATGGTTTGACTCCTTATTTTGGATCTGCTGGCACTGCTCCTCCACTACAGCTTTTCTTTCAAGAAGTGTTCCGGAGGATTGGAGGAAGGCAGATGTGGTTCCAATATTCAAAAAGGGTTCAAAATCCTTGCCTGGAAATTATAGACATGTGAGCTTAACTTCTGTGACTGGAAAGGTATTTGAAAGGTTGTTAAGGGATAATATTCAAGAATTCCTTGAGAAGAACATGGTTTTATGAAGCACAGGTCATGTCAAACTAACTTGATTGCGTTCTATGAAGAAGTAAGTAGAAGTATAGATCAGGGTGTTGCAGTGGATGTGATCTCTTTGGATTTTGCCAAGGCATTTGATACAGTTCCACACAATAGATTGGTGTTCAAACTCAAGAAAATCGGTCTAGATGAAAATGCTTGTTCTTGGGTAGAACATTGGCTTAAAAACAGAGTACAAAGAGTTGTCATTAATAGTACATTTTCAAGTGGACAGAGGTGGCAAGTGGTGTCCATCAGGGGTCTGTTCTGGGACCCCTTCTATTTAACATGTTTATAAATGATCTTGTAAAAAGCATTGAAAGTCATGTTTCAGTGTTTTCAGATGACACAAAACTCTGTAAAGTAATACAATGTGAGCAAGATATTACTTTGCTGCAGAGGGATTTAGGTAGACTGGGGGACTGGGCACTCAAATGACAGATGAAATTTAATGTTGAAAAATGCAAAGTTATGCACTACGGGGTAAAGAATGCACAAGCAACGTATACCCTTAATGGAAGCGAATTAGGGATAACAACACACGAAAAGGGCTTGGGAATTGTTATAGACAACAAACTATGCAATATTGTGCAATGTCAATCAGTAGTGGCAAAGGGCAGTAAGTATTGTCATGCATGAAAAAGGGCATTCATTCTTGGGATGAGAATATAATTTTGCCTCTTTATAAATCACTGGTAAGACCACATATTGAATATGCTGTGCAATTTTGGGCACCTGTTCTAAAGAAGGATATTATTGCATTAGAAAAAGTGCAGAGGCAGGCTACAAAATTAATAAAAGGAATGGAACAGATCAGCTATGAAGAAAGGTTAACACATTTAACCCCTTAAGGACACATGACATGTGTGACATGTCATGATTCCCTTTTATTTCAGAAGTTTGGTCCTTAAGGGGTTAAACCTCTTTAGTTTAGAAAAACGTCACCTGAGAGGGGATATGATAAAATTATGCAAATATATTCGGGGCCAGTACAATCCATTGTTGAACTCTATTCACAAACCGGACTTTACATAGGACACTATGCGTTTAGACGTGAAGAAAGAAGATTTCGTCTAAGGCAGAGGAAGGGATTTTTTACTGTAAGAACAATACGGATGTGGAATTCTCTGTGTGAAGAAGTGGTTTTATCAGAGTCCATACAGATGTTCAAACAGCTACTAGATGCATACTTGCAAAAACAGAATATTCAAGGATATCATTTTTCGATGTAGGGTAATAGCTGCTTGATCCAAGGATAAATCTGACATTTTGGTGCCAAGAAGGAATTTTTTTCATAGTTTGTTGCAAAATTGGTGCTTCAAACTAGGTTTTTTTTTGCCTTCTTTTGGATCAACAGCAAAAAACAAATGTGAGGAAGGCTAAACTTAATGGACGCAAGTCTATTTTCAGTTATGTAACTATGTAACACCTATATGAGTGTTAGAACCTCATGCATAGGAACTTTCATTAGGTCTCTTGAGCTAAGCCTTGCAGTAAACAATAGGTATAGATACAGACTGATAGAGTGATGGATATAGAAATAGACAGAAAGGCGGGCGGATGGATGGACAAGTGAAAGTGAGACATTGGTTAGATGTAAGAGCTGGGTCAAATTAATTTCTAAAAAAAAATAATATGCAAAGACAAATCATCCCTGCAAAGGATCATCTGTAGAAAATGGAAATCTTTATAAATAATAATAATAATAAATTGTCTAATGGCATATATACATAAACATAATTTTACTGCCTTTTCATGACAGATTACCTGTAACCCAATAAATGCTACAAGGCTTTTCAGTCCAACCTAGAGGTATTTAAAGGTTTAGTGACACTCTAAAAAGCTTCCTGATGTAGTCCTGATGTAGCTAGTTTAGACATATGGGTAGGGGATACAGCTAACACAATGTTTAAATTTGATTGTTTACCCCAATTTGCAGACCTCTACTCTGATTGCCTCCCAAGTGGGGTTAAAAGAGACACTTGCATAAGAACAGTATTAAAGAAAAGTCTTGATTCTAATATGTCAACGATTAAACAATCAGGATTCTCATAATAATTCTACATATGAGCAGAGCTGAAGGCATGCAATGTATTTATAACATGAGTGGCTGCACTTTGCAAACGTGTGCACCAACATTCATATTTAGATCTTTACATATAGAGCTGATTAATGTTTATTTACAAAAGGAAAAGGATTGAAGTGTTTCAACAAATCACATGCTACAAAGCATGTGCTCTGTCCGGGGAAGACAGAAATTCTCAGTGGAAACTGGATGACTCATATTTTTTGGTTTTACATTTTAAATTTTTTTAATTTATTTTTTAAATACATGTGTGTACAATTCAAGCTGTGACCTTGGGTTTCTAATATGGTCTGCACTTGAGGGGTTAAATATCATTCAATATAGACTCTGCACAATTTGTCTATAAGGCAGAATTACTTTTTCTTTTTTTTTTTTCTTTGTCTATTTCTGTTTCTTTAAGAATATTTAATTTGATTTCTCCAAAAAATTTGTCATTCCTTCCTTTTACACATTGATAACTTTGTAAAAAAAAAAAAACTTTAGCAAACAGTTTTAAATCTCTTTTTACCTGTTTGGGTTTGTCTTTATTGGTAATTATATTTGTAATACGGGTTATGCCTTGCAATTGCCTTGTCATCCAACTATTTACCTTTATATAAAACATTGGTTTTATATATCTGTGGCAAATAATGTATTTTATGTTAGAATTTATTAATTCTATCTTTGTCATTTACTGGAATGAGAGCACGGACGATCATTTTATAGAGGTCTGCCATGTAATTAATGGGTCATCAGTGGTGTCCCCTGGCTTCTGTTTGCAATATCCATATGTCCTTTGTGTTGGAGTTGGGAGAGATTCAAGAGGAGAGGGATGGCACTGAAGTAAGTTATAAAAATAACTAATCTAGGCAACTGTTCAGGGGATCTGCAGCTGGATCGCCCTGACTTTTGGGATCATTTAAAAATGAGACAAGATGTTTTTTGGGCTCTGGAAAATTATCTGCCTAAGCCATGTAATGATATTAATAGCAAAAATATTATCCAGGAGACAGTTCCTGCTTTTAGGGATTGTTTAGTAGTAGAATTTGCAATCATATGACACTAGACTTCATTCAACAAATCGCTGTTAACCTTTGACTCTTTAATCTATAAAGTAGATGTTTCTAATTGGACCAGAAATTAACAGAGATGTTGATCTCATTATTGCAAGAAAAATAAATAAAAGAAAAGGAGGAAACGAAAGAGAGAAAACATAAAGAAAAGCACGTGCATGCAGTATCCAGAACTGAGCAGTTATAGAGTTGAATGTCAGAGGTCATTAAAAGGGCCATCGTCTTAACAATTGTTGAATCTGTGTAAAACATATTTGCCAATTAAACCAAGATTTTCACATAAAAAAGACCCTCATCCAACAGGGGACACAGCACACACTATTTTCGTACTCTCTGAGCCATAAGTAGAGCGAATACCCACCACATCCAGCAACGATCCCCACCTAGTTTGCAGCTCTCATGCCTAACATATCTGTTATAATCTAATCTTAATCGTTTACTTTTCATTTAACCATATAGACCTAAAAACGGAACTGTAACTCACATACCAATCATCCATGACCACACTAAGCCAACACTGCTACTTTTCATTCATTAATAAAAATATGCCAGTTTATTGGATACCACACTTGGTTATGCAAATTGAACGTATCTATACCGCGATACTGCTGTTGTGGCGTACTGAGGCTGTTTGTTTATTTGATGCATGACAAAAATAAAGAATTTAAAAAAAAAAAAGACCCTAATTTCCTCAATTTTAAATTGATGTGTTTTTTTCTTCAAATAAGCATGCATAATCATTTCAATATCAAATTCGGCTATGTACGTTTTCACTTTTATTTTGCATTGTAAAGCAAAATTGTGTAAATGCATATAATTAACTTGCTATGTATCTATGAACTCCAAATCTGACCACAAAATGTCTGTTTGAAAATGCACAAAATATGTGTGGGCATCCCATTTTTTAAATAAATGCAGTATTATTTTTTTTTTTTTCTTTTTATTTACAATCTTAATTTCTATTTTTCAGATTGAACAGGGCAGGTAAAATTATGCATACACGTGCAGTAATGCCTCATACATAGGCACAATGAGTTATCAATAAGGAATATATGTAGATAGTTATAAGTTACATCTATATATACAAAGATTGGTGTTTGGGCATGCATCTCAAAAGTAATGTTCTTAACCGAAAGTACTGTGGAAAGCGTAGTAATATGCGATAACCTCAGAAGGAGTTTATAATATCAACCGATTATCCAACCCGTCACCCATTTAAACCATCACGCATTCCAGAGGGATGTAAGATCCTCCATCCTCAACTAGTGAGTGATATACCACTGAGTCAGAGAGAAAAAAAAAAAGCTAGAGGGAAAGGAGGGGGGAGATTAGCTGCTCCGAGTCCGCCAGCCCCACATGAGCATAGAATAGGATCAGAGCAGCCCCATGGGGTGCCGGCAACAGCAGTAGGAAGATAAAGTGTGCACGGCTTCCACTAGTGCATGGGATTACAGTCTTTCCCAGTTGGTACAGGCCCCGGCAATGGGTAGATTTTAATACACTGCAGTATTGCGTCTGGATATGTACTATCGCCAAGGAGCCCTAGTCTGTGAGCGTTTCCATATTGCAGATCTCCTCTACTTATGCAGTGCTAATATTTTTAAAACAAAAAAATGTTTGGTAGTGAAGGAGTTAAAAAATAAAAAAAAGTAAAGCTTGTTATCAAAACATTATGTTGAAGCTGATTTGCATGTGACGCTCAGTGACAAGAGAATAGATGTACATGTGCTCTTCAACTGAATGTCAGAATCTACTACAAAGGTTGTGTGGAACAGTTTGTTCTCATGTATAAAACCCATTTAGATATCTTCATAAGCATACTGTATGGGCGTAAAAGTGAAAATATGACCCTATAGATCATGCTTAGTGTTGGAAACTTCACATAATGGGATTTACATTTACATATGTACATATAAATATGATGCAGCCTTTACAGACAACCTCTTCTCAGTGACTTTGGATCACCTATCTCTGATCTGCCAGTCAGCTCACCTTCTTGTGGCTGTCGACTTTCAGGAGTTTCGGGCCATATCTGATATTAGCCATATCTGATATTCTTTTAATACAAAATGGTCAGTTTGGTTAAATGCAGTAAGGCTGATCATCACAATGCAATGAATCCCATCTCCATTAGGCAGCCAGTAGCAAGCTTTTATGTCTTTGTAGCTAACACTCATGCAACTCGATTGGACAGAATTGATTTGATAATATAGAAGAGTAAATTCTGCCTTATTTTCAGAATAGGTAACCAGGGCCGGACTGTTCCACTGGGATACTGGGAAATTTCCCGGTGGGCAGTAGGCACCTGGGGCCGGGGAGACATTTTGGTGACCTGCGGCCACAGGGAGAACTTGGATGGCGGCCGCAGGGGAGCTCTTCTGGCGGTCGCAGGGGGAGCGGGCTGTTCTGTCTTTGCTCCTCCATACTCGCGCGCTACTTAATTAGACTGGGGCCGGAATATGACGTCTGCTGGGGAGCAGAGACAGAACAGCCTGCTCTCTCTGAGGCTGCCAGAAGAGCTCCCCTGTGGCCGCCATCCAAGTTCTCCCTGCGGCCGCCAGCACACCTATCTGTCTGCCCACCCACAGGTCAGGTAGCAAAAAGTATGTATGTCAGTCTGTCAGTGGGAGTGTGTGTGTGTCTGTCTGTGTCATGGTGTGTGTGTGTGTCTGTCTGTGTCATGGTGTGTGTGTCTGTCTGTGTCATGGTGTGTGTGTCTGTCTGTCATGGTGTGTGTGTGTGTGTGTGTCTGTCATGCTGTGTGTGTCTGTCATGGTGTGTGTGTCTGTGTCATGGTGTGTGTGTCTGTCTGTCATGGGGTGTGTGTGTGTGTGTGTGTCTGTGTCATGCTGTATGTGTGTCTGTCTGTCGGGGTGTGTGTGTGTGTGTGTCTGTCTGTGTCATGGAGTGTGTGTCTGTGTCATGGTGTGTGTGTCTGTGTCATGGTGTGTGTGTGAATGTCTGTGTCATGGTGTGTGTCTGTCATGGTGTGTGTGTGTGTATGTCTGTGTCATGTGTGTCTGTGTCACGGTGTGTGTGTGTGTCCGTGTCTCGGTGTGTCTGTATCATGGTGTGTGTGTGTCTGTCTGTGTCATGGTCTGTGTCATGGTGTGTCTGTCATGGTATATGTGTGTGTCAAGGTGTGTGTATGTCATGGTAAATGTATGTGCTCTTCTGGCGGTCGCAGGGGGAGCGGGCTGTTCTGTCTTTGCTCCTCCATACTCGCGCGCTACTTAATTAGACTGGGGCCGGAATATGACGTCATATTCCGGCCCTGGTCTCATTAAGCTGCGCGCTGGGGAGCAGAGACAGAACAGCCTGCTCCCCCTGAGGCTGCCAGAAGAGCTCCCCTGCGGCCGCCATCCAAGTTCTCCCTGCGGCCGCCAGCACACCTATCTGTCTGTCCACCCACAGCTCAGGTAGCAAAAAGTATGTATGTCAGTCTGTCATCCCATCTGATTTTTGAGTTCCCATCTGATTTTTGATTTCCCATCTGATTTTTGAATTGTTGGTAGTTGAGGCCATTTCTCACGTAAAATGCTATTGAGCACTAAATTATGTTTAATTCCAGACCACCTACTCATCTATATTACCATTAGCAGGCCAGTCTCTTGCCAAATTACAGTGGTTCCAAGGCTACCTTTACCCTCCGTCTTTAAACCAGAATTCTCTATGTCCGTGTCTCGGTGTGTCTGTATCATGGTGTGTGTGTGTCTGTCTGTGTCATGGTGGGTGTGTGTGTGTCTGTCTGTGTCATGGTCTGTGTCATGGTGTGTCTGTCATGGTGTGTGTGTCTGTCATGGTGTGTGCGTGTGTCTGTCATGGTAAATGTATGTGTCATGGGGTGTGTGTGTGTTTTCAAAAATAGTGTTTTACTCACCTTTTTTTTATTTTTATTTTTTTAATGTCGTGCTGGTCTCCCCTCGACTGGCCCTGCCTCTATGACTGAGATCACCAAGCTTGATGATCTCAGCCAATCCGCACTGACACAGGAAGCGCCTCTAGTGACCATCTGAGTGTCTGTCACTAGAGGTGTCACTAGGAAGCAATGTAAACACTGCTTTTTCTCTTACATATTACATTCGACAATATAAGAGCAATGACTTATGGGGCTGGCATAAATATTTTTTTTCCAGGGCTGCTTTGTATCCCCAGTCCGGCCCTGTAGGTAACCCAACAAGCAGAATCACACGTCTGCATGCTGATTCAGTTACACGAGTACAGGAAAAACAGTAGAAAAACAGCAGTACATATTACCGGACCTTATAGTGGCCGGTCTTAACGTTAGTATAGATGTCCATTCTAACCATGTTTATATTAGAACAACAATTCTGCTGTTGCAAATATTTGTCTTATTATAGAAGAATAAATCAAAGTGTGCTCAAATATATTGTTTAAAATAAGTGAAGCTGTTGTTTGATTTTTTTTCAGTGGAAAAAAGCTACATTGGAACCATTTTGCTTGTTTTTGGATATTAAAGATACAAATTAGCACACATGCTCTAAAAATGAAAGTTGTCTAAAAGGTATTTTTTCACTGGTGCAAAAGAAAAATATTGAGTGCAATTGCATGCAAAAGAATGCACCACTTTCTTTACTCAGCTTGCTTATAAATTACAACATTTAAATAAAATGAGCACTGTCTTATTTTATAGTATGAACTTTGAGCATCTCCCAAAGTAAATGAACCTATTCGTGTATGAGAAATCCCTTTTTTACACTTCTACAGAGCCAGTAAAATGTGTTAAGGACGGTCCAATAAAAACTTGCGCTCTTTGTGATCATGGCATGTTCAAAAGCTTTCTACAATGAGTTAATAAATTCCAATAACAAGAGAAAGCTAAATTCTCTCCACATTGCAGATTTATTGTTTTCATAACTCACTCTCCACTGCAAATTGCCAACATTACACACAGAAATCCCATCTGATTTTTGAATTGTTGGTAGTTGAGGCCATTTCTCACGTAAAATGCTATTGAGCACTAAATTATGTTTAATTCCAGACCACCTACTCATCTATATTACCATTAGCAGGCCAGTCTCTTGCCAAATTACAGTGGTTCAAAGGCTACCTTTACCCTCCGTCTTTAAACCAGAATTCTCTCTGGTACGGTGATAGAACACGGACTGCTGAACTGCATCTGTGAGATAATGGTAATGGTTAAAATGGAATGATTAATTAAAAACTGTTGTGAAGAGGAAAGAAAATCAAGACCAATATTTTCAGAGAGTATACACACACACTGGATGGATAAATTGGCCGTTTAATACCGTCAAAATAGGTTTCTCTGTTTCTGTGTTTTGTCTGCTTTGGGAGCACTGTAGACTTTATTACATGACATCATTATTGGAATAACGTTCG